TGCAATCGGCATCCAAAGCAGTTGAGAAGTCCTTGACATAATGGAAGCAAAATGATGGGCCTGAAAGAGGAGAGTGATATGTACAATATGGAAGGAAAAGTTTGACTTTCCCCTGTTGGTGGCCCTTTCTTTTGAGGCAGCCTTCAACTACAACTAAACATCTTATTCTTCTACTATTTGACTATTAGTTGCCTTGTCAGGGAGATGAGTTTCTTAGATTACTTGTCTTTGAACAATTCTTATATAGGCATTTGAGCTATATCATTTTGTGTGTGTATGTACCATTTTAATTTAAATTAAAAGAGTCTTCATTTTTTTTCCAGAAGAGTTTGTAGGCAGTCCTGAATCCACAGTAAGCAGTACTCAGCTGGCTGTAAGGGACTCAGTGTTATTGAGGCAGGGTTCTTTCCTGAAGGAGATATATATTGAGGTGCTACTTTCCTGAGGGGCTGGCTGAAACTAGAGTAGTACCTACACTTTTAATGCTGGAATGACCCAATTAGTTCTCTCTTTTTTGTCATACATGTTTGACAGAGGTGAGCCTCAATTGTCCCCTTTGACCTACAAGGCAAGAACCTATTTAGGAGTCACTTCAGAATTTCACACAGGCTTCTTCCCATTCTACCAGTTCATGTGTCTAGTAGGCCCTGCTGGGGGCATAGGAGAGACCAGCTTAATAAAATTATATGAGATAGCTAGGCCTAACTCCATGGTGAGTGAGAATCATCCAATGCAGCCCAGTTAATATGCTCCTGAATCTCAACACCCTGGACCTCACACAGCCAAGGTTTCCACTAGAAGTAGAGTCTCCTGTTCCTTCTTCAGTGGGCAGAGTGAAATGAAACACATGCAGTGCCCTCAGCTGGGTGAGAGTGGCATATTAAGATGAGCAACTGGACAAATGGCAGTGTTGGCTCAATCCAAGCAATGTTCAAGGGACAAGTCATTTTTCTATTGTTACATTTTCATTGAGGTTCATAAATATGAATTGAGAAAGTGGTTACACTTAGCCTGGAACAGGGTTAAAAAGAAGAATCATGAAACACATGAAGGGAGCCCTGATTTGGGGGTATTTGGATGCTTCATGGGGTATACAGTGCTCTGGTTGCTGTGTCGCCACTATTATCTACTGTTTGCGGATCATGCCCTTGATAGCCGATTCCCGGTTCACATATGTGTAGCAATATACAAGATTGAATATGGCAAAGAGCACAGGAAAGATGATGCGGGAAATTTTGTCAACCTTGCTGACACTGTTGTAGGTCTTGGTCTCAGCAGGGCTGTCCTGCACATAAGTGGCCTTGGGTGAAGCAATGACCGTTGGAGTTGAAGAAGCACTGGGAGCGACACCCTTGGAGATGGTGGAGAACTCAGCATCCTTGCCCAGGTTCAGAGGATAGGTGGTTCCCACAATGTTGAAAGTGGTGCTTGTTTTCTTTGTTGGGGCTGCTGGTGTTTTCCTCTAGAGCCAGAAAAAAGAGGAGGAAGGGGAGAACAAAAAAATAATAAAAGATGATGAATTCATTGCACAAAGTACCTTTGGAAACTGCAGGAAGGAAGAGCCATGAGGGACATTAAAGAACCTACTAAGTAGTATGTTTGTACTTAGGGACAGTATTTTGAAAGCAGAAAACCTGCATGCACCATTTTAAATATCCTAGTCAGGCCCAGCTGTCACCTTGACATAGCCTTAAATCACGTGAGAATGGAGTTTCAATTGAGAGATTGCCCACATCAGGGTTGATTTATTGGGTATATCTGTGGGGACATGTCTTGATTGTTCATTGATGTAGATCGGTCTTGATTACTGTGGACATCACTATTCTCTAGGCAGGTGGTACTAGACTATATAAAAAAGCTATCAGATCAGCCAGCAATCATCATTCCTACATTCCTAAAGTTTCTGCTTTAAGTTCTTGCTTAACTCCCTGTCCCAGATTTCCTCAGTGATGGACAGTGACCTGGAGTTGTAAACCAAATCCACCCTTTCCTGTGTCAGTTGTTTTTCATCAGTGTTTTATCACAGCAAAAGAAAAAAAAACTAAAAAATTCTAGCTATGTGTCTTTGGATAAATTACTCCTCCATTGTGAGCTTCAGTTTCTTCATTTGTAAACTGAAGATGAAAATAGCTGGCAGATTATTTAGAGAATCAGAGGGGAGAATGGCAGCGGAAATTGCTAGGAAATGTGAGGTTTTATAAATTGCATGATTTCATTCTTCACCATATGAAGTAGGTGACATTATCCACACTTAATATGTAAGTCAAGCTCAGATTAAATGGCAGAATACATACTACCAATCTGAGTTCCTGACTTATGTCCATAAATATATACACTGTGCCACTTTGTATAGCACAAGGAATTCTTGGTTACCCGTGGAAAAAACTTCAAAAAGGCTGCAGCCGTCAAGGGGCACACCTCCTGTGAAGAAGAGAGCTTGGTGAATCTGCAAAGTCATTTTGTCTTAAAGAGCATAATAAATACTATGGGATATTTACATGCATCATCACAACAGCATGCTGCCCTCATGCACTATAAAGGTGCTTAGCAAAGTAGGGGGTACTTAAAAGTTTTTCACTCTTTCCAGACAGCTAGCAGGAGCCACAGCCTCCCCACAGAGCTGAAGAAATGACCTCTTCTGATACAGCAAAAGTAGACAGCAGGAAACTTGCTATGGCATTGCCCTTTGGGAGCTTTTTTTTTTTCAACATAACTATCCCCAAAGCACAGTAAGAAGTGCCTTCTCTCTCTCTCTCTCTCTCTCTCTCTCTCTCTTTCTGTGTGTGTGTGTGTGTGTGTGTGTGTGTGTGTGTGTGTGTGTCTGTCTGTCTGTCTGTCTGTCTGTCTGTCTTCACATAAATGCACTCATGTGCTGCATTGGGGTTACCATGCTTGGGTCTGGATTGGAATAGATAGGCGGCATGGCATGGTGACTGAAGGAGCAAGCTAGCTCCTAACTGCAACCCAAGGCAGTGGCCTAGATCAGTATGCAAAAACTCTTCCCATGTCTTCCCTCCTGAAGTGTCAATCTGTCTATCTTGATGCTTCTCAGAAGCTACAATTAACTTCTGTACTCTCCCAGTTCCTTACTTGTTTGTTTTTTTTCTAAGTTTCTCTCTTCCTTTTGTTACTCCTTTCTCCTTATCTCCCTTTTGTTACTTTCTCAGAATTGTGATTACTTATATCTACTGTCATTCCATCACAGCACCATTTATTTTTTTGATCCAAATCATCACTTTTATGTATTTATTCAGTATCAACAGGGCCAAAAGATATGCTAGATATTTGGGGGTAAGTGGAAAGGTTAGAAGTTAGTTATACTTCAGTCCCTTTCTCCTAGGTGCTCACAGCCTATTGTTGAAGAAAGCCCTATAAATACATGATTGTCATACTGTGTAACCTGGGTTGTAACTGTTTTGAGTTAACTGTTATGAGTGTACCTGCACATGTGGGAAAGGCAGCTTAAGGAAGGCTGTCAGATTTCCAGTCTGAGTACTAAAAGTTGAACAGAAAAAAATATCCCAATTTAAAAATGGTCTTCTTGTGGAACTTCTAACAGTGGAAGCAGGGGCAGTCTCTCTTTTGCTGGCTTTGGGACCCTATTCCTCATACTGGGTCACCTTGCCCAGCCTTAATACATGGGGAGGTACTTAGTCTTACTGAAACTTGAAATGCTCTGTCTTGTCAATATCCATGGGAGACCTGCTATTTCCTGAACAGAATTGGAGGAGGAGTAGATGGGGAGGTGGAAACATAGGGGGTGTGGGAGGGACTGGAAGGAGAGGAGGAAGGGGAAACTGTGACAAGGATGTAAAATAAATTTTTAAAAAGTTGAGCAGGAGTCACCAAATGATTAAGAACTGAAGGAAAGGCCAGTGCACAGGAGATTGCTGTACATGAATCCCAGTGAGCACAGCAAACAACTTGTAAGAACTGAAGGAAAGGCCAGAACTTTGGGCCTTCCCCTGTGATTGCGTTGGTGACTACCCTGTTGTGAGTAGAGATACTTCATCCAGTCACTGATGGAGACAGCTTCAGGGACTCATGGCCTAACATTGGGCCCAGGGGAACCCTGCTAAGGAGAAGGAGGAGGGATTGTAGAAGGCGGGTAGTTGGCCAGGGACATCAGGTGAAAACCCACACAAAGAGTAGCCTAGTTCATGGGAACCTATTCACTATGCTGGAATGCCTTACCCAG